TCCTTTGAACATTTTTAGGTTGATATCTAAAAATTTTCCTGATAAGATTAAATAGTTGCAGAGGATGGTGTTTCCAGTGTGTTGTAAATATTGACATTTAAAACAAGAACTGTTACCGTCCTCTTAAAGTATACCTTTTAAATGGAATCAGAATATCCTAGTAATTTATTAGCTAGGATCTCTATTTTGAAAACAGATAAAAAGCTCTTCTTTAACTGTCAGAAAACTTACATTATTTCTTTATCTTCTTGAATTTGTATTTCAATCATACTTCTCATAATTTTAACTTAATATATTTTTATTCTCGAAAGTTTTATTTTTATCATACTTTTCTGCAACACAGATATTTAAATGTCAAAACGTTTCTATTATCATAGTTATTAGAGCACATTGTTCACAAGAACATCAAAAATTTCCAAATTTTCTTAAAAACTAAAATTTTGTAGAAACATATCTGTTGATGACATGAGTGGTGCTTTCCGCCAGTTGAATATTAATTATTGTGAAAATGTAAAGAATTCTGATATAGTAATCTCACTCAATTCTTTGCATACTTTCTAAGGTATAAGGCAATAGTATGTTGGTTTATTATAAAAAATGTTGCTTTTAATTGTCTATCAACTGACAACTTTATTACAGACTTTTTCAAGTTTTAGGTAAAGAATCAGAAACCACTTGACTTGGAAGTAGAGCTATTGCATCCCTACATTAGGGAGGTTCACTAATAAGCCTTTAGCAAAATGTCACCTAGAGGCTGCTATTTAATGTAATGTACTCAGAAAATGTTGATAAAGTAAAACCATTACTGTAGAGGAGACAATCAAAATTGTAATATAGTATGAAAAATGTTATTACAGAACATGAACCAGATACTGTACTAGCAGAAGGACAGGAATGGAGTAATCAGTTCTTGAGGGAGGTGGAGATTGTGCAAAAGGAAAAGTTAGGGAAGGTTTACTGGGGAGGTGAAGATATTTGAGGAGTAGTTGTGTGAAGGGAAAGTGGTGTGAGAGATTTGGAAGGCCTTCTAGGCTGAGGAAATAAAGACTCGGTCACTGAGAGATGAGAAGTAGAGCTGGTTAGAGATGTCTAGGTGGTACGGAATGGAGAACATGGAGTTCTGCTTTTCTCATGTTAAAGTTGTCTCTGTAATATCTAAGTAAAATGTCCAGTAGGTTACTGACAAATATGGAACTCAGGAGAGAGATCTGAGCCAAAGTAGACATTTAACACTTTAGTTATAGTGTCATAGTTGGGCCATTGGTATGGATTAGATGAGTCAGGAAAGTGTAGCATGGTAAGCATGGTAACAGAAGATGGGCAAGAACATCAGTGTCTGAAGCAGGGAGAGCAAATGCCTAGACCATATGAATGTCATTTTCCTCTTTGCCTACAGTAGCAGGCATGGCTAATGATCACCGCCCCATTTTTTAATGAGTTCAGTTTCCATTGTAATTTCTTTGGATTTTTTAAGATGCCTGTTGCTTGATTTCTGAATGTTTAGAGACTTCCTAGTTATTTCCACATCTTTCTGTTACTGATTCCATTTTGATGAGAGAACATATTTTGTACGATTTCATTCCTTTGAAATTTATTAGCACTTGCTTTATGGTCCAGCCTATGATCTATTCTGGTGGATATTTCATACACAATTAAAAAGAACATGTGTTCTGCTCTCATTGAGTATAGTGTTCTATGGAAGGTCATTTAGGTTGAGTGGCTAATAATGTTTTCATATCTTCTCTATCTTTCTAACCTTAATCTTAGCCAAAAGATTGAGAAGTGATTATCTTTACTTTTGTATCCTATTCCCCCCCCCCCCAC